GGGAAAGGCGGAGAGCGAAGGGTAGCGTGGAGTGGCGCGCCGTTCCCTCCCCGGCTGCGGTGGCCGCAGGTGAAAGCGCAGCTCTCCCAGGCTGGCCCAAGCGCCTTCAGAGCCCCCCTTCCCCGAGAGACGGGCTCGCTCTTGGGCCGAGCCTGGAGGATGAGCTCCATCACTGCTCAGAGCAAGCAGGAACAGAGACCCCCCCGGGGACCTCTCAGCCCCTTCCCAGCCAGAGGTGAAATTCCCCCTCCACGATGGAGCTGGAGGAGCAGGAAGCCTCGAGACAGCCTTAGGACTTCAAAAACGTAGTTACCACCCAAAGGCTGGGGCCTCTCTCTTCTCCTCCAAGCTGCCCAGCAGCAGCAGAGCGCTGGAGGCCACGTGCCACCAAACCCCACCAACAGCACCGGGTGGTCGGGCAGCCCAGGTAGGTCACAAACCCGGACGCGCGGGAAGCCGGATGGGAAGAAAGACCCACCTTGCCCTGCTCCTCCTCGTTGCAACCGTGCTCTGCGTTAGCGCCCGCTGGCGTCGGCCAGCTTCGCGCTGCCTGAAGGAGCGGCTCCACCGACGCGTCCAGCTCTGCTCATTTTCAGGTGTCAACGCCGTACAAGCATCTACCGTAATAGCACGTTTTACCAGCGTGGTATGAATTTAATTGTGACGTATATACAGGGGCTGCAATAATTACCATGATCATTTCATAGAGGTTCATCCACAATACCTTACAGAGCGCTCAGTCAAGAACTCTGAACCGAACAGCCCTAGACGCTGTGCAAAACTCAGCTCTTCGCGAGCTTCTCTCTCCAAAAACGATTTCCAAGGAACAGCCCAGAAATCAAATGCAATTTAAAAAAGGCAACGGGGGACCATTCTCATCTCATGCTAGGGGCGCGCATCACAGCCTCTGCTAATTTGCTCAGCTAGGCTGCAACGTCAGCCAAGCTCAGAGTCTTCATGCTCTGCACCTCTGTGTTCAGTGAGTAGCTACAAACTGCTAGATTTACTAGCGGCAAGGGCCGGGTAGGTCTGCAAAGCAGCTGTTAGCTGGTCAGAGATCAGGCACCCCATTTTTATAGATATCCTCCCCTTTTGTTGACTATCACTCACGTGAAGAGAGGAGTTATGCAGTCAGCAGTGGCGCTTTTGGACTTGCACGCATGCCAGTGACACAAAGGTGATGGCAACGCTTTTGGAGTCACTCTGACAGGACAGCAATGAGACAGCACAGTTTGTTTTCTTTTTTAAAATCTCATTGGATCAAAAGCTACACCAACACCTTTCCCATAATAAATATCACTGTCTTTGTAGAACTGCAATTCTTTTTTCTTCCACCCATGAGATGTTTGTGCAGGCATACAGATGATCTCTGTTCAAAAGTCGTCCGGGGCACAGAGCTGGTCAGACTGCCAACAGAACCAACTAGGTTCTGAGGAAATGAAGTCAGTTGGCTTTTTTTTTTGGCATTCTTACTGATGGTCACACATTCAGACATCCCAAATCACCTCACGGTTGAGAAAGGAGAGAGACCTTATTTACATAAAGTCATCTGAATCGTTGCCATCCTGCAGGAAAAAACAGACAAATCAGGATCAACGTGCACACTAAAATGGAAAGTGGTGAAATGGCAAATCTGCAATTCTGCTGAATATAGCATTCATTCTAGTTTCCTGCCATTTCAGTACAAACACCACGAAATCGGACCAGACAGACACACAACAACAGGTCTGGAGTGGGAACAGCCCCGAGTGAGGCACCGCATCATGAAACAGCACTTGCTTGGGTCAGCTCTTGCTGAAGAAAGATGCAGAAGAAAGAGAAAAGCCTGCCCTTCACAGCGCTTTCCACCGTCTCTCTCCCCAGCACGTGTCACTGATCAGGCACAGCCTGCTTACGCACCTCAGGAGGCTCTCCTACTGCAACACAAGTTCACCACATAAATCTCAGAGGGGATCTGCCAGCCAGCCAGCAGCAAATCAAGGATTCACAAAAATCAGGCACTCCTCTTAACAGTTAATCAAGGAATTTGATGCAAGAGAGATTATAAACCGAGGGTCACTCCAATGAGCTCCAAGTTCTGCTTGCGAAAGGTCCACCCAAGGAGGAAGCTGCAGACATGCCAGACCTCAGGCAAAGCACAGATGCATCGTGTGTACATCAGGACCTCTTCTGAACTTCGGCCCCCAGACCTCATGCAATCCATCTCCTCTTCTCCCTCCTGCTTGCTCACGCTCCTCTCTGGTTTGGCTCCAATTCTTTCCTTTTCTACTTTCAGATCGCAGCCACGGCACACTGCTCCCTTCCCAGGGTGACAACTGCTTCCTCTGACCAACGTACCCCTCCAAGCTTTCTCTTCTGCCCCTCAGCATCTACATCCATCTCTCCTTGGACTGGTGTCCTCGCACCTCCAATTTATTTCTTGTTAAAAGCATGCATTTTTCCCCCCCTCGAAGCAACAGGATGCGTATGCAGTTCATCTCTGCCTTTAGAGGGACCTCCTCTGCTCGCAGAACAAGTCCAATTTTGCCCAAGCAGTTCACAAGGACAGTAAAGTCCAGAGCCCCGCTTAAAGCTCTACCTGTTCTTTCAGCTAGATGGGAGAACTTAGCGCACACATTACAAGCAGCACAAACTCCAGCTGGACAACACACAAGCGACAGGATTGTCTCCAAAAGCAGAGCAGAGTGGCAATGTCCTTGAATGAAAAGAGGCAAAGGAAATGTGCTGCATCATGCAGCAGTCCCCTAAAAACAGACTGCAAGGCTGGGAACTGTTTGATCGCAATCCTGCACCGAATTTCACTCGTCTCCCAAAGGTTTCTGTGGGCCCCAACCAGAGCTTACCTGATTGGAGGACATGTTCTCAGCCTTCATTAGTGACGAGTAGCTCCTGAAAGGGAAGTTACGTTATCTTGCGTTACAAGTTTTAGAAGTCGCCAACAGAGGAGCGTTTTGATAAAACAGGATCAAGTACCAGAAAAGCATTCTGCCTTTCGAAATTCAGACAGGCTGGACCAATGCTTGCACATCGCACACTCTTTGGATGTGCTGCATGCATCTGAGCTTTCTTCGGTCATTCTCCATAGCTTTGTTCGGGAACTACCAACTAGATAACCCCAGGAGGTAGAAAACCCTTTATTTGGGGGGGACAGCCAAGAGGCAGCTCCGGGAAAAAGTTAAGCAGGAAGGCAGATACCTAATGCTGTAACACAGATATGCCTGCTGGTAACTTCTCTCGAGTTTAGCTTGCTTAAGTCTTCCTCTTTCTGATCTCTGCACGTGTTGAATCACTCGGGAAATCCCAGGAGTTTTTCAAATTCTACTTCCACCATCATTTACAGATAAACATGACTTACTACAATAAAATAATTTCACATGCTTAAAAGCAAGCTTTTGGGGCCTGTCAGCTAGTACATTCCGTTCTCTACAAGGGTAGTCAGTACTGAAGAATAAACCCACACATGTTGCTGCATGTTTTGTTGTCAGATGACAGAAAGGTCCACACTACCTTTCAAAACACCATTCCTCATTCTTTGTTTAAAGCACTATGCAATTGCTCATGGAAAATTGAGGACTCATACATGTTTTAGTTAACATCTTGGTGCGACATGAGGCTGAAAAACTCTACCTAGCGCTCAGCGCTTTCCAAGTCTCCCACAAAGCTGGAGAGACTGCTTCCATCCCACAGACAGAAAGAGTTAAGCATCTCGCCAAATTTCACCCAAGTTAGGGACAAATGTGAAAAGAAACAGTTCTTTCTTTTAACAATGGTTTAACATCCAGTTTATTTTAGGAGAAACTGGGAAAGCACATTCACTGTAAAGACAAAGGAAATCACTAGGCCGTGCAGACTTCTGTGTTAGAATAGGTCAGCTGAGTACTGAATAGCATTAGTCTGACTATTAAACAAAAACTGCTGACCCATGACTCTCTCCCAGGGCTGATGAAAACTGCAGAAGTTAGAGGTTGGCACTGCGATGCATTACTCACCTAAGTTCTTCCAGCTCTTTCTTCTTCTTCATCTCTTCCTTTTCCTTCCGCTTCATCTCTTGGATCTGGGCTTTTTTCTCATTCCTTTCCTCTCTGTCCCTGGCTTCCTTCTCAGCAGCCAGATCTGGGAAGCGTTCCACTTTCGTCTTCTCTAGCCGGTTCAATATCTCATTCACCTTTTTCTCCACTGTCAGCATTTTCACCTTTGGAGTGCAAAGAACTATGATCCTTATAAAAAAAATACTTTTATTCTGGCACATTCTCTACGGAAAGAAAACACCCTATTTCTACTTTACGCATGACTGAAACCCACAAAAACAGATGCTAAGAAAAATCCCTGCCACCTCAGCCTATTCAGCAGGTTGCGTAACAGCAAAGAGACCCACTCCCAACACCCATGAGCACAAATCTAACAAGCGTAAGCACTACTAAGTACATAAGCATTTCTAATTTGGTTTCTTAGTGCAAGTCTCAACAGAGGCCAGGAGACTAGCACCGGTCTCTACTGATTCCTACAGAGGTGGTAGCAGATCTCTGCAGACCATTTTGGTAAGGGAAGCTCACGTGCTGCTTGTTCTGTAGACCGCAGGGGCTTTGTTGTTCTGTTTTTCAGCATGTCATACCCTAGTACAGACCTGTTTTAAATCTAACAGTTGCACCTCTAGAGAGCCTTCTCTCCGAGCAGCCAAGCCGCATCACTACCAATTTAACCATAACACTATATGGGGACACTAGGTCAGGCTTGGGAATAGCTTAGTACTTTGGCCTGACCCTACACCAAAGCTAAGCAGCTCTGCCTCTCAGTAGGTTTAACAAATTTAGAGGTAGCACTGAGCTGACACAGCTCTTGCAGCAGAGATGGTAAAGCCAACATAGCGACAGACATCCTAAGGACCCTGCGCGGCCCTCCTCTCAACAGCAGGTTCAAGTCCTGAGCCCTTCCAGACAAGTGATTACACTGCTGCCCGCTAGCTGAATCCAAAGCGATCGCTCACATGAGGGCTCTTTGGCTGTAGCAAGTTAATGGATAATTTCAACAGAGAAAGTCAAGCAGATAGCATAGACTAACACTTGATATCATCCTGCATTAGCAAACATTCATCACCTGCACAGCGCAGCAGTTTGGAAACGCATGCTGATTCTGATACATACTGACACTCAAGCCACAGGCTTTCAACTCATTTTTAGGTAAATCCAAACACACCCCATGGGGTATCTCTCAAGCGTCAGGAGTGAGCGATTCCCCTGCCTCAGGCCAAACGCTGACGATAATTTACCCAGCTCCTACCACAGAACTGTTACAGGAAAGGAAAGCTCACAGTCTGCCAGGAGGTCACCTTCACTGGCAATGCAGCAAACACTTACATCCTTTTGCCTGTGAAATCCGATCTGCCCCACATCCATGTCTGCAGTCTTCTTCAGGTTAGTCCACGGCGTGTACACCACATTGACGTTGTTCATCTTGCAACCTAGGAAGCAGGAGGGGAAAAAAAAAAAAAAAAAAAGGAAGGGAAACATTTCTGTTCTCTCCCTGCTGAAAGATGTCTTAGTCTTCTGTGTGAACGGAAACCCTGAGTGATTCATGTCACAAACATTACTAACTAGGTAAGAAAGAAGTAAAAAGGACAAGTCCTTCCAGTATTACAGAGAAACTGAGTAACGCCACTACATCATTTTCTGCAGTAATATGAGCGCTGCAGCAGTGTTAACGAACTCCAGATGGAGACTGCCTTTGCCAGAAAAGCGATTACTACAGAAGGGGGCCCCAAGGTGGTGTAAAAGAAGAGACTGCAAGGCCTCTTTGGCTCACACAGCCATATGGAGGCACAACCAGGAATTTAAGAGATTTAAAATTCCTCCTTACGAAAGTGTAATGGGCAGCCCCAGCAGCTGCAAGCAACATCTGCTTCCCATAAGGCCATCAGGCGCAGACTTAACAGAGAACAACATAGCAGAAACCTTGCAAACGCTTGATCCAAAAAACACATTACTCGCATAGGCCAAATCCACTCACCAAACACCTTACACACAGCTCTTCATCCCAACAGATGTCCCAGTAGCAGTAAACATCTCCCAGTATCAACAATTAGTATTACCTTGAATGCTATTAGCCTTCACTAGATGGGCACAGTCTATCAAAACTTCTTTGGGAATGTCATCCACCGTCTGCCCCTGTGACAGAGCAACGCAACGTGAGCAGCTTGCTGTGCAAGCGCGAGGGGGCTTTAGGGACTGATGAGCGCACCACAGCCAACCACGGCCAGGAAGGAGGATATACTCTGCAAACACACCCAGGATGTCCTATACTCCACGCTTTACAGGACTAGAGTCTCCACAGCACTTGTAAGGAGGCTCAAAGCACCAAAGTGACTTGCATTCTGCTTTTCTCACAGGTATCCTCCCCCATTTTAGTGCGGTGATTGTTCCTAGACACACGCCTGGGGTCCAGCCAGAAATCATTTGCTCTAAAGTGCTGGGCCACATTACATTTTCCGCTCCTCCCCACGTTATTTGGTAACGGAGGCTGCAAATTCAGTCTCCCTGCACTGGTAGTTACCTGCATCCTTAGAGAGCCCCACTGACTTTAGCGCTCCATACGGGCAAAGAGGTGCTCGTGTACAGGGCTCACTGCAGAACAGGAGCTTGCAATTCTTACGCAGGTGAATGTTAACTAGGACTTGTTTAAACATACATGTCACAGGATTACCTTGTGTAACCGAAGATACACATGTGCAGAGGAGAGCTTATCCACATGAAACCTACAGAATAAAAAAAGCACATTTAATACAGGATGCAAGATGGCAATCTGTTCTGAAAAGTTTACTTCCTAACAAGCGACGTAACGGCCGCTCCATGGACAACTAAACTGCAGAAACGTTTCATGGTATGCCTATTTAGAAACACGTAAGGGAGCTGGAGCTTGTCTTTCAAGAAACATCATCTTTAGGAGGAGACCAAACAAATAAACCTTCCCTCCTCGTTTTTAAGTAACATAGTAAATGCACACGACACTCACAGGATAAGCCTACACATGTAGCGTTTTGGTCTTTCTATATATTCTTAAGAGAAACAGCAAACTAATGAACTCCTTAGCAGGCACTGCTAGTTATATCACTTATATGACTTGTCTCAAGCTCCTGTGGCAAAAAAAAACACAACCAAATTTCCTACTGGGTCAGTGTAACGGTCCATTGAGCCCAGTACTCTGCCTCCAACAGTGGCAAGAGGTGATGTTATTTGGGAAGCACATGTAAGGCTGGCTATTTTCTGCAGTCCATCTCCTTCATGGTCCACAGCACCTACCATCACTGGATTAGGGCTGTCATGGGGCACATCCTGCTGCTTGTCTTTTTGAACCTGTTGACTCTCTCCAGAAACTTGTCACTGCAGGAGGCTGTGAAGTTCCCAACTCGCTATGTAAAGAGTTTTTCTTTTAAACTGATCTGTAGATTCAATGGATACCAGCTTTAGTATTGCAAGAGCTGGTGAACACCACTTCACCTCATCCACTGCCTTCATTCTGCAAACTTTGCTCGCCTCCCTCCTCAGCCCTTTCCAAACTGAAGAGGGCTTGCTTCTTTAGTCTCTCCCCCCAGCACAGCTGTTCCATCTCCTTGAATACATCAGTTGCTCTTCTCCAGACCTCGCCTAACTCCACTGTGTCTTTACCATGGCTACCTATTTTGTAAGGCCCTGTCCTGATATCACCCACTACAACTCTACTTAACTTTCAAGGATGGAAGAGGCACTGAATTCATTTCACCTTCCATTGGGAAGGTGACTGGAGTTTCATATCTGCTCCCAATCTTTCCTTCCACCATTTTATTTTTAACATAATAGGAAGTTTTTCCTCTTGTTGCAAAATAAAAAACCCTCTAGCACCAATATCTGAACACTCACTTCTACCTTTTGAGCTGCCCCTCCATTCCACCTGGACCCCTGTTAAGCAAAAGTTAAACCTACAAGCTGCTAGACACTGTTTGGAGAACATTTCCCAAGAAGCGCTAGAGGGGATCTTATAATACTTTCTTCAGATGGTGCTAGGATATAAAAAAAAAAAAAAAAACAGCACAGATGATGTTGATGTGAACTACAAGATGGAGAAGGGAAACCTTCATGGTTCAGGCAAATTGAGGACTAGTCTCAAGGTCACTCCTAAATAACAATGTAGACAAACTTAAATTAGTATCTAGTAATAGGACAAGCATGAGACAGAAAAATTAATCTGATATTGCTATAACAAAATGTTATTCAATTGAAGTTAACATCTTCTGTTAAAAAAGAAGAAATATACCCTTGCCGGTTAACCTACTGGTGACAGAATATCCTGCACAGAGCGTATTAGCTAATACATATTCAATACAGAGGGCATGCACAAGCAGAGGTAGCAGCTCCACTTCTACCAAAATGCCTCAATTCATCCTGGAAAAGGCCACCTTGAAGAACGAGAAAGTGCACAATCCTTATGGTGATTCTTGCCTACAACTATTACCAAAGGAGAGAGCAGCAACCGTGATGCCTCCAGCCTGTGGAAGAATGCCTGGAAGCAAGCTAACCATTTTATAAGCTTCTCTCATACCTTACCAATCTGCAAAACTCATGGACTAACCTAGCCAGCACAGATGCCGTCACCTGCTGCTAACAGCAGCAGGAACTACCCTACTCTTGTTTTTGTTCTCTGATGAGAGCTAAAACTGATTAACACATGTCAGAGTACTTCCTTTTGCCAGCCTGACCACGCAGTTCCAGCGGACCTGCTTAGAGCAGACGTGGCTTTTGCTTCACAGGATTCCAAATGTGAAACTCCTCCACTCCTGCTCACTGGCTCAAAACACCTGAGAAAGCAAGGGCTACTTTACTGGACAGGACAACACATCCACAGTACACACAAGGGTGACGCTATGCACATGCACACAGGAAAAAGTATGTGGAGACAGACAGTTTTCTTTAGGCATGGGATTTACTGTTGCTCAAAGACTTCTGCCTCCATCCGCAGGCCCTATGCTGACCCCTGCATGACTTCAGTTAAGTCTTCTTCTGTTTGCGCTTCTACTCTCTCAGTCCTCTGGCAGCCTTTTATTTTAGCTGGTTATGCTAGTCTGTACACGGCAATATTCAGGAACTGCTACACTTGCTTGACTCAGGAGGTGCTGTCTTACAAACACCAAGGTGACTTCTTGTTTAACTCTGCCTGTTTCCCAAACACACTAAGAGCAACACCAAGCAAGCGTCTGTATTCTGAAACACAAATATCTATGTATGGAGTTATTCAAGGTATTGCTACTCCAACAGCTCCATGCACAGACGAACCACAAAGAGCTTCACAAAGGGGCCAGCTCTTGTGATGAACAAGGGTGGGGCGGAGGAGCGAGGGGGTAGGAAAATGAGTTCAGAATAACTGGGATCCTAACATTTGCACCTGAGTCTGCTGCAACTCACCTCCAACCCTGGGATTGCATTTAAACTGCTAAGTGCTTGGGAAAGGGAGACTCTAGAGCACCTACGGAAACAAGACGGCTGACACAACCATTCAACTTGGTTGCTTCAGGGGAGGCAATTTGTTTCACAAGCAGAAGCACGCACAGAAGAGCGTTCCAGTACCTACCAGATATCTTCAGGCCAGCCGTATTTTATTAGGTCTTCATCTGCAAGAATAAAAGAAGCAGTGAGCAAGGCAAAGGACCTCATCAACAACAGACCAAATTACTTGTCAGGATCTTGACGAGAGCAGAAGTCAACTGCTAGAGACCAGCTTCGAACTTGGTTAGCCACTCTACAGTGGTTAAATAGAAACAGAATAGGGCCTTAACACGGTAGCAGACTGCACTAGACCAAAACACCTGCATCATACACATGCTAGGAAAGGAACCACAATTTCAAAAACACACAGTGGCTTTGGCAAGCAAGAGATCTAACCAAAACTCTGAATACATCTAATTTCCATCCATTTCTCCCTCTCTGACACACCTCCATCGCGTTATTTTGAAAATTTTAAGTGAAAATATGTTTCTTCAGGTATCTATCTAACGGAGACAAAGTTTCTTTCAGGGAAAGTCTTCAAGACAGCAATACTAACTCTTTTCACTTAGAGTGAGATATCCTGGTTTCACATCAGCTACTGATCTGGAAACAGGAGATGCAGCAAAACATAACCTTCAGCTCATGGGAAAGGACAGGAACAGAAAACCTATGGGGTGTAAACACTCATTGGAGAGTGGAGAAATACAGACTAAGCACAGAACTGGACACAAACTGAAAAGCAGTATTTCTCCCTAGACAGATTTTTCAGTTAATTTAAATCATTTTTATCTGAAGTATTTATGTTGCTAGGAGGATCACAAAGCTTTAGCTGTCCTTGTTAAAACTAACACTATGAACTTCACAGGGGTAGGTCATAATAACTTGCAAAGACAAAGTATTTTTAAACAATATATGAATTCAACACATAAAAAGACATCCTTTCAAACAATACCAAAACCCGACAAATCTTAACCCCATCTGCTAGGCATCTTCCCAAATATATTGATATACTTACTTTCATATTTATCTTTTCCCATGTAAATGGTGTAAACGGAAGGAACAACTGAGGGACAGAAAGAGGAAAACAAATCAAAGGGGGTTTTGGACAAATTGTGCAAGGAGGTATTGACAAACATACCAGTCTTGGTCATGGAAATTAGAATGAAAAACATCTGATCCATCCCACTTCCCTCCTGGGGGCCAAAGAAAGATTGTTTTGCATTTCCTCCAGGCTTCATTCAGCATGTTTCGGAGGACTTTATCAGTGGTGTTACCACCCACTTTCCATGGAAAATTATCCAGTAAGGAATGGCTTTCTGAGCAAAACACCCTTGCACATCCATGTGGTTCAAATTATACAACCAGACAGACGCAATCTGTTCAATTAAGCAGGTCTGTGAGCCAGAAATGCCAACATTGTATTTGCAGTTTGATACTAGCTCCCTGTGCAGCCTTACGTAAAAGAGCTTGTTTTCCTGGCCTTACTTTCCCCAAAGGGCCAGAAGGACAACGCTAACCTACCTCAGATAGCTTAGGAAGATTGAGATTTGCAAGACAGCTGAAAGGCCAAAGCTATATAAAATACCAGTTACCGATTTGTTAGTCCTGTTTATGCTGTTTTGGGGGCACTATGAACAATGCCTTCTTCAGGGCTCATTCCACAACGCAGTAAAGACACATTTCTGTTTCTGGAAAACCGAAAAACTTGCCTCTCAGTGCCTCGTGCCAGTACAGCTGGAAGACTGACACAAAGCAGTAAGAGGGTGCTACAGTCAAGGAAGTTTGAGTATAGAGACCACTGAGCAACTGCCTTAACCAAACAAAAAAGTGCTTTTACATATGGCGACAGGAAAATACCAACTTCACAGCAACAGAAAACTATCTACCCAATCATGTCATGTTTCCAGCTTCCACAATGCCTGAGTAACAATTATGTTGTGCACGAGTAAACAGTACCTACAACCAGCCATAGCAACAAACTTCAACGTTGCACTAAATTTTAGCTTTTATTCATAAAGACTGAAAACATCTGCACATTTCAGCATGAATGATTACTGAGCACCTGTTTTCAGCAAATAGTTTCACATGGTAACATCCAGTGGCTGAAGTAACCTGGTACAGCAGCATATATTGCATTTCCAGTATACTATTGCACACCAAACAGGATTCAGCATGAGGCTTCCAAAGTCAGCCAGTGATAGTATTCACAGATTAAAGACATCACCTAGCTACACAGATGAAGAGGAAACAAATAAAATGCAGATGACCAAAACTGCCTCAAAAAAGCATCCTTTGGAAATATAGACTCTAATCTTATATTTTCAAAGTCACTAAAATAGTAGACACTATTCACTTATATGCTGCAACTCTGATAGCCAAATGACTTGGATCCCAGATTACATACTCACTCACACCTTTCTCAGGGTGTTTTCATTCAAAATCTAATAGCAGGAGCATGAAGCCCAAGTAACACTTTTCAAAAGAAATCTATTACCATTTTAATTTCATATTTTTGAATTTCCATTTCTTATTACCTCATGAGTGAATGTAAGGGTTATACGACTCTAGGAGTTAAAGAGCAGAAAAAAATCCACCTTGAATGCATAGGCGCGAAAGTCCAAAGCATAGGAGTTCATCATGCTTAAAGGCACAACATAAGTCTAGAACTCAATGCTCAAAAATAAAGAGGCATAAAGGATGGTTTCATGAAGACGAAGCCCATCCTGTCAAAAGAATGGAGGAATGATACAATAATATAATAATATAGCAGGACATTATTTCCAATCCATATGATCTGACACATTTCAGCAACAGTACAACATGCTTTAAGCAAACTGCAACAGCCTTATTATTATAGCCCTCTCTCTGGCAACCTAATCAACTAAAAGTGTCACAAACCCTTCACAGAGCTATCATTTAAACACAAAGGATATCATTTATATCTTTAGCCCATGTAACTGCTACAGTACTGCAGCTTGTCTGCTTCTAATACCATCCAAGCCATCCCACTTGTCTGCAAGTGCCCGTGCCCTTTTTCCTCTCCTCCTCATTCCCCAAAAAACATGTCCTGAAGGCCAGGAAACAGCAGTCTTTGAGTTTCTCACTAGCAACCTGCCCATCAGCAGCAAGTGCTTACGTTACAGTATCAGATTAAATGATCAGCACGTATCGTCCGTACACTTGCTTGCAAGCACATAAAAGGCTCTACTTTCCACACCAGAGAAGTGTTTGTAAACTGATCCCAAAAACAAGTTTATGTAAGAAACATCAACAAGACCAGCGCGTCTTGCCTCGTCCAAGGAAGATGAGGTAGTCAGATACTCAAGTGCTTCTCATTAAAGATCTTCAGCTCCAGAACTGAGGAGGACAACACCATGAAAGTACCAGCTTGTGAATACGGTGCGTAAGGTGAAAAAAATCGCATGGGAACTTAGACAAGTAGGTTATATACTGGTGAAAAAAAAAAAAAAAAAAAGGAGGGGGAGAATGTTCCTACACTGTTTACCATCGCATCAGCCCATACTGCACCAAACCAGAGACTCCAGATGCTTCAGAAGCAGCTAACTTTCTTTCGCGGGGGCAAGCAAAGAACATGTCTCTGTTCAGACAAAAAAAAAAAACAAAACGAGGCACTCTACGCGTTATCCCTTTCCTCAAACCTCCGACAGCTTCAGAGGCCACTCACCACCACTGCCGCCCACCCCGGGCTGTCAGCGAGCGCCGCGGGGC